TCCATACATATTGAATTATAAGTATTTGACATGGCTTAGGTTTGTAATATAAATTGTAATTTCATGAGTGACTATTATTACAAACTAGGCAGTTGAATTTGATTTTGTGATGATTTTTTTATCCTCAAGGAGCATTAGCATTTGACATGGACTATGCTCGATGGGTGGATGAGCATCAAAGGCTGATCAATGATCTAAGATCAGCTATAAATTCTCGAATGGGTGATAATGAACTTTATGTTCTTGTTGATGGAGTCATGGCACATTACGATGAATTATTCAGGTTGAAGAGCATAGGGGCAAAGGCTGATGTATTTCACATACTTTCTGGGATGTGGAAGACTCCTGCAGAAAGATGCTTCATATGGCTAGGTGGATTTCGTTCTTCTGAACTTCTCAAGGTGATTGACCATTTCAGATACTGAAATTTAGTGTCCATAGAATATTCTGTTCAGTTGTTGATGACTAATAGGCACATTTCTTTGGATAATCAGATAGTTAGAAACCAGCTTGAACCATTAACGGAAGAGCAGTTGATGGGCATTTACAATCTGCAACAGTCTTCTCAGCAAGCTGAGGATGCATTATCACAAGGCATGGAAGCATTGCAGCAGTCTCTTTCAGATACACTTTCAACGTCCTCACAGGGATCATCTGGTTCTGGAAATGTTGCCGAGTACATGGGTCAAATGGCAATTGCATTAGGCAAGCTTGCCACACTTGAGAGTTTCCTTCATCAGGTAATAACCTCACTAATCTTAGTCACAGCATCTCTAATACTAATATTTAGCACTTATTGCAACATTATAATCTTTATTTGTAGTTTAAGTTCTCACTTTCAATAGTAAAAATTCCACATTATGCTTATGAGTTTAGTTTCTATGTGTCTTTACTTTGTCAATTATCACTGTGATCACAACCTTTGAAAATTTGATGGAAATGTATTGAGAGAGTATAGATGTTTCCTTTTTCAGGCTGATCTCTTGAGGCAACAAACTCTGCAACAGATGAGACGAATTCTGACCACTTTCCAAGCTGCGCGGGCACTACTCGTCATAAATGATTACGTTTCACGACTCAGAGCTCTTAATTCTCTATGGTTAGCGTGCCCAAGAGAGTACTAGGTGTCACACATATTCAGAACTAATCTTATCAGAAACATGGCTAATTATTGCACCTTGATTCCTACAACTTTTCAGCTATTGACAAATTTGTATATTATTGACATTTTCAAGGAAATATTTTTCTGTGTTATGCTTACACTACTCTTGAAAATAGATAGGTGTCACCTTTGCATCGTTTCACGTACCAGACAGCATTGCAAATAACTTATTGATAGAAATAATTATAAATCATTTCATTCCCTTTCTCATCATTTTTTATATGGAAAGAGAAAACTCTACATTAAAATGCCAACAATATGATGTTTTTTTTATAGAATAGAACAGAACAGACAATTACATTAAACAATTTTCACAAATTGTTTTACTCTCCTATAATAACTAAGATCTGTACATAAATGAACAGTAGTTGTACAAACTTTTCACCCTTTATGTTCTGTAATTCTTCCACTAATGTAGCATCATCATTGTATCCTATGTTATATATATATAGAATGATCGAGCAAGGAGGATATTCAACTTCAATTTAGTAGCAATTTATCTAAGATTCTTCAATTCTTGTTATCCACTGGTCTATATACCTTTTTTCTGCTATTGATTTTTCCTGCCAAGAATCAATAATGTAACACTATTAAAATATTAATCTTTCTTTTAAACAATTTCATCATATTTAAACTAGTCAAGAAGATATAAAAAACTCTACCTGGTCTATGGATTTTTCTGGATGCAACTTGGGGAATGAACACCCCAGTACCCTTACCACTCTTCCACAAGTTCATAAGCCAAAGGGGTGGTGAACCAGAACCATGTCTTTCCCACAAACAAAAATTGCTTGGAGGTGAAGATTCCCAGCTAAATCTGAAAGCTGACCTGGCTGAACCACCATCAGTGACATTAATGGGATTGAAAGTTCTTGTTTGGAGTAAATCTTCGTTATCTTCAGATGTCAATAGCAGAATCTGCCTCCTAATCTCTGCATAGAAAGTATCCTCTTCATATTCTGCCTCAGACATAGCACTAGGATCTGAATTCCTCTCCATGTTATGTTGCTGAAGAAGATGATGATTTGGGAGGTGAAAATAAAACAAGTGTTGAGGTTTATGTATATAGATGGATGAACGAGAGAGAAAAGAGATTAGTTTGAAGTCAGTGTTGTGAAAATAGGCGTGGGTAAATCTGATATCCGATAGTGTCCAAGTTGGAAGAATATGTCCATTTCCATTTCGTTGTCAGCTGCTTTAAATCATATGATGCAATCATTAAATCTATAAGCCAAACCAAGTGGATCAGAACACACAACACAAGACATTTGTCAGTTAATTTGTAGCGACATAAATGGTCGTTATTCATCACTAAACATCAACATCTAGCATGCTTATGGTTTGGGTTACCTTGTCATAAAAAAATTAAAATATCAAATTGTGCCATGTAACTTTCATAACTTGGAATTGTTTGTGATTCAAGTATTTGGTAGATGTTAAATTAGAGTATCTTATTGGTGTTGCTTCACTTCTTATAACTACCTTTAAAAAATGGTCTATCTTATATGCTGATATTTGGATAGCTGAAATTCTCATTACACTGTTAAAAAATAAACTAAATTTTATTCAATCTCTATTATTCTGCATATATTATGATGAACACATTCTCAACACGAAGGGACCTATGAATGTGACATTCTGTACAAGATACTATAAAAGTTATCTCTCTACACCCATAATTTAGTTGTGATATGGATTGGCTTGAAGTTGCTACGTCACAAATAACTCTTTTTTCTTATTTAAATATTTTATGATGGAAAAAAATAAAAAAGTAATAATATTTTATAAGTGCAGAGATATTTTATTTTATTATTTTTATCTTATACTTGTCCACATTTTTTATTCAAATGTTATTAGGTCAACAATCAAAGTTTTAAATGAATGTTGTAAATATTACGAGAATAAGAATAAAATATTAACTATCTTAAAAATAAAATTTGTTTAATCTATCATAAAATAATATTGTACCTAGATAAACCGAAAATAACAATTACTTATCCTTATTTGCTTTGCACAAACCAAAGACATTTCTGAATCCAGAATACATGTGTGGCTCATGCATCATGTTGAGTATTTTTACAATACTCAATATCATATATATATATATATATATATATATATATATATATATATATATATATATATTCTTTACTTTAAAATTAATCTGATTCTTGGTTTGGGCAGATAAAAAAAATCTAATAACAATAAATTATTTTCATTATGAATAGAATATACATTATTTTTTTCTCACTTAGATTATTTATCTAACATTTTTTTTCATATCAAGCCTAAGGTATTAACCATAATAAATTGTTTTGTTTTCCATTTCTTATACTTCACCTTTTTCTATATAAAATAGNGGAGATATATTATGTGTATATAAACTCATGTTCATCTCTTGTTTTATTGTTTGTACCCAACATCTTCCCCTCAAACAAAGGACTATGGTTATCCTACCTCCACCTCTCGTAGAAGTGAAGTATTTTCTTATCCTCGAGTACACCATGGTCAACAATGAGCATCTCTTTGCCCTCTTTCACGATCCATAGTCACAACACTAAGCATCTCTTGCCCTCCACCTCTCATGATTTATATAGCTATCTGTCGCTGGCCACCTGTCAGAGCTTCATATGGTCATGGAAGGACGTACTTGTCTGAGTCCGGTCACCAGACCTGAACCATGGGCTTTGATACCATTTGTAGGGAGGGACAACATACACACATAGATCTCCACACTGGTAAAATATTGTCCACTTTGGACTAAGTTCTCACAGATTTGCTTTTGGTACCACTCCAAAAGGCCTTTTATCAATAGAGGTATCTTACGTGTATATAAACCCATATTCAACCAACAAGCTAAGTAAGAGTTAATTTATAGATTTTATTTCATATCTTAGTATTGGTTATGTGCAAGTATGAGAAACACCTTTTATAATTTATTATGCATTGTATTATAACCTTATAGTTACATCTAACTTTATCAATATTTATTACTCTTTCAGAAAAATCCACATACTAAAAAAAAACCCACTTGATCATTATACGCATTTAAATTTTTGTAGGAAAAAAAAGAAACAAAAGAGAAAAATGGAACATAAAAAAATGAGCTAAAATAAACAAAAACAAGATAATTTAAGGAAAAATAAAAAATAATTTTGTTTGCTATGTTGTTATTATTATTAAAATACTACGATTCGTAAGAAAAAATTTAAAACTTTAAGAGAACAAGTTATAAAGTAGTTAATTCAACTCTCAAATTTAGTTATAGGTACCTTATTTGGTTTCGTATCTTATTTAAATTTTACTCCAAGGTTAATATCCTTTATTTATTTTGAAACCTATTTAATCGTTTATATACAATAATATATTTATAACATGTGAAGTGACTTGTGTGTGCTAATTATTAATAATAAGTAAACAATAATGAATAAATAAAATTTAAAAATATTTTTTGTTTAAACAATTTATATTTCCATTAAATTGTACTTATTTTTCAATCGAACAATTTTTATTTTACCTCACTTTTTACCTATTTATCTTAATTTTTTCTCTCTCTTTTCCACTGTTTTTAATTTTTTTTCTAATATCACACATACCACTAATATACTATTTATTGAACCTATATTTATATTTATAGACTACTTATATTATTTTATTAGTAAATTTAGACCATGCTAATATAATTATCACTTAAAATTCTTATACTATCGACTTATTAAAAAAACACAAGAAAAGAATTAATTTTGTAATAAAAATAATATACTAAAGCAGAGATTATTTTAGAAATGTGTATGAATAAAATCACTGAAAGAAAAAGGTTGAAGCTTTGAAATGTGGGGGTGCTGATGCAACACTACTACATTACACTCTTCTTAAAGCTTCCTCCAACACTTTATGCTTCGAACTGCATTTCCATATTCTCTTCTGCTTCCACTTGTTTAACAACAAAACCTATCATCGCCATCATTCATGCTTTCTTTCCTAATCACTTAGCTTAGAAACAATGCAAAGCTTCAACCCAACCGAATCAGAATCAACCTCGCCACTCTATTCCCACTCTTCCTTCATTCACCGGTAAATTGCATATTACAATCTGCAAGAACCATTCACATGCACCAACAAGTGCTTCTGTTGATTTATTTTTCTTTTGGTATTACAAATATAATGTTTTCTAAAACAGAGTTTCTCTGTTTTTCTCTGTTCTGTAACAGGGGAAATGACGCCAACCCAAATCCCACGCGCTTCTCTGATCTTCAGCATTCTTTTCGGCAGCACGATGCTGTTGATTTAAGCTCAAGTTAATACTCTCTTTCAATGTCTTCACCAATATACAAACACACACTTACACACAAAATGGTTCCTTCTTGTGTAGGAATTTTAATTTTTAACTATATTATATCCAGGTTCTGTGTTTGGTGCGAAGTCGAACAATATGGCTGTTGTTGCAAGCAACTTGCAGTGTGGGACATTCAACAAGGTACCGGTTCTTTCTCTCTTGTTTTCCTCTATAGTTATAGACTTTTTTTTTTTTCACGCGTGCCTTGTCTATTTTGGGTTCGGACGAAAATGTTTTTGTAGAACCTTGGAGGTGCAGAGTTTGGTTCGACGGTTGTAGGGTGTGTTGAGACAGAGTCTCAACACATGTATCAGAGAGGAAACAGTAGCGCCACCATGCCCATGGGGAACCAGTATGTTGAGAAATGGGCAGATGATAGTCAACACACTGAAGATACTTGCACAGACATCGACACCGATGATAAAAACCAAGTGGGTTTCTGAAAAATTATTTTCTTGCTGTTACTGTTATGTGTCGGAAATGGAAAGTCATTGTAAAGGCTTAAATGGGTTTTTGTCACTATCTTTTTCTTTTTCTTTTCTTCTACTTTCTGTCTGTTTCTCACACCTACTTAATCAACTTGACTACTAAAAAGTATAACATCAGTTGGATTTTTTGCATCTCTATCAGTATAAATGTTTTGTCCAAAAAGATGAAGACGTATTTAACGGGATAAAATGGAATGTGAATTGCTGATTTTAATGTATTTTTTGTTCACAGTGTTTCTCTACCGTGTCTTGGGGCAATGGAGTTGGAGACGGGGCACTTGTAGTTGTGGACTCCCAGGATCAAAGTAAGACAAAGGTTAAACCCGAAGACCAGAAGGTTGTATGATGCTAGTTTTGCTACCAAATCCTATGTTTAACATTTCCTGTTTCGTTGCTGATAGCTTTATTTTTGTGAATGACTTCCATTAGACCGTTCGTAGGCTAGCTCAGAATCGCGAGGCAGCTAGGAAGAGTCGGCTGAGGAAAAAGGTAATTGCTCAAGGAAGAAGTTTATCCTAATTGACTCTTGATTGAGCAGTTTATTGCTGAGTTTCGTTATATCAGTTAGTTTCAATGTTATTAGTTTTTGTTTCTCCCTGTATGTGTAACAATCAATGGGAGTAAATTAACAAGTTAATTTTTCAGATAATTCTAAGAATCTTGTTAATGGAATATATTTGATTGGTATATATGGTATGATCATGAACAGGCATAAGTGCAACAGTTGGAGAGCAGTCGAGTTAGGCTTGCACAATTAGAACAAGAGCTTCAACGGGCACGTCAGCAGGTGTAAGATATTAAAGGTTTCTGGTAGATAATTTGCATCCATAACACAAATTTTCTGTTATCTTAATTGCTTTTTTATATGGGTTGCTACTTTCTCCAGGGTGTTCTTATTGCAAATGGACTCAATGCGGAACGAGGACATTCAGTTGTTGGAAATGGTAATATGAAAGATTATTTTTCATTTGTAGTGGCAGAACATTGGTAATTGACTATTGAGTACATGTTTTCAAACTCAAAACTACGGTACTGTTTATATATGACAATGATTATTGTTTGAAGCTCACCCATGGCTAAGAAAGAAGCTAAAATAGTTGGTTTTATAGATACAACCTGTATACAGTAAATTTGACATAGAAATTGTCATGATATTGGTAGAATTGAAGCCTCAATCTAGGTAATAACATCAATCATCTGCATGCCTAATTTTCTTCTGATGCTTAAAAGATAATGGCTGGGTAAGGCAAAAGGACTAGTTATTGTTATTTGTAATTTCATCCATACATATTGAATTATAAGTATTTGACATGGCTTAGGTTTGTAATATAAATTGTAATTTCATGAGTGACTATTATTACAAACTAGGCAGTTGAATTTGATTTTGTGATGATTTTTTTATCCTCAAGGAGCATTAGCATTTGACATGGACTATGCTCGATGGGTGGATGAGCATCAAAGGCTGATCAATGATCTAAGATCAGCTATAAATTCTCGAATGGGTGATAATGAACTTTATGTTCTTGTTGATGGAGTCATGGCACATTACGATGAATTATTCAGGTTGAAGAGCATAGGGGCAAAGGCTGATGTATTTCACATACTTTCTGGGATGTGGAAGACTCCTGCAGAAAGATGCTTCATATGGCTAGGTGGATTTCGTTCTTCTGAACTTCTCAAGGTGATTGACCATTTCAGATACTGAAATTTAGTGTCCATAGAATATTCTGTTCAGTTGTTGATGACTAATAGGCACATTTCTTTGGATAATCAGATAGTTAGAAACCAGCTTGAACCATTAACGGAAGAGCAGTTGATGGGCATTTACAATCTGCAACAGTCTTCTCAGCAAGCTGAGGATGCATTATCACAAGGCATGGAAGCATTGCAGCAGTCTCTTTCAGATACACTTTCAACGTCCTCACAGGGATCATCTGGTTCTGGAAATGTTGCCGAGTACATGGGTCAAATGGCAATTGCATTAGGCAAGCTTGCCACACTTGAGAGTTTCCTTCATCAGGTAATAACCTCACTAATCTTAGTCACAGCATCTCTAATACTAATATTTAGCACTTATTGCAACATTATAATCTTTATTTGTAGTTTAAGTTCTCACTTTCAATAGTAAAAATTCCACATTATGCTTATGAGTTTAGTTTCTATGTGTCTTTACTTTGTCAATTATCACTGTGATCACAACCTTTGAAAATTTGATGGAAATGTATTGAGAGAGTATAGATGTTTCCTTTTTCAGGCTGATCTCTTGAGGCAACAAACTCTGCAACAGATGAGACGAATTCTGACCACTTTCCAAGCTGCGCGGGCACTACTCGTCATAAATGATTACGTTTCACGACTCAGAGCTCTTAATTCTCTATGGTTAGCGTGCCCAAGAGAGTACTAGGTGTCACACATATTCAGAACTAATCTTATCAGAAACATGGCTAATTATTGCACCTTGATTCCTACAACTTTTCAGCTATTGACAAATTTGTATATTATTGACATTTTCAAGGAAATATTTTTCTGTGTTATGCTTACACTACTCTTGAAAATAGATAGGTGTCACCTTTGCATCGTTTCACGTACCAGACAGCATTGCAAATAACTTATTGATAGAAATAATTATAAATCATTTCATTCCCTTTCTCATCATTTTTTATATGGAAAGAGAAAACTCTACATTAAAATGCCAACAATATGATGTTTTTTTTATAGAATAGAACAGAACAGACAATTACATTAAACAATTTTCACAAATTGTTTTACTCTCCTATAATAACTAAGATCTGTACATAAATGAACAGTAGTTGTACAAACTTTTCACCCTTTATGTTCTGTAATTCTTCCACTAATGTAGCATCATCATTGTATCCTATGTTATATATATATAGAATGATCGAGCAAGGAGGATATTCAACTTCAATTTAGTAGCAATTTATCTAAGATTCTTCAATTCTTGTTATCCACTGGTCTATATACCTTTTTTCTGCTATTGATTTTTCCTGCCAAGAATCAATAATGTAACACTATTAAAATATTAATCTTTCTTTTAAACAATTTCATCATATTTAAACTAGTCAAGAAGATATAAAAAACTCTACCTGGTCTATGGATTTTTCTGGATGCAACTTGGGGAATGAACACCCCAGTACCCTTACCACTCTTCCACAAGTTCATAAGCCAAAGGGGTGGTGAACCAGAACCATGTCTTTCCCACAAACAAAAATTGCTTGGAGGTGAAGATTCCCAGCTAAATCTGAAAGCTGACCTGGCTGAACCACCATCAGTGACATTAATGGGATTGAAAGTTCTTGTTTGGAGTAAATCTTCGTTATCTTCAGATGTCAATAGCAGAATCTGCCTCCTAATCTCTGCATAGAAAGTATCCTCTTCATATTCTGCCTCAGACATAGCACTAGGATCTGAATTCCTCTCCATGTTATGTTGCTGAAGAAGATGATGATTTGGGAGGTGAAAATAAAACAAGTGTTGAGGTTTATGTATATAGATGGATGAACGAGAGAGAAAAGAGATTAGTTTGAAGTCAGTGTTGTGAAAATAGGCGTGGGTAAATCTGATATCCGATAGTGTCCAAGTTGGAAGAATATGTCCATTTCCATTTCGTTGTCAGCTGCTTTAAATCATATGATGCAATCATTAAATCTATAAGCCAAACCAAGTGGATCAGAACACACAACACAAGACATTTGTCAGTTAATTTGTAGCGACATAAATGGTCGTTATTCATCACTAAACATCAACATCTAGCATGCTTATGGTTTGGGTTACCTTGTCATAAAAAAATTAAAATATCAAATTGTGCCATGTAACTTTCATAACTTGGAATTGTTTGTGATTCAAGTATTTGGTAGATGTTAAATTAGAGTATCTTATTGGTGTTGCTTCACTTCTTATAACTACCTTTAAAAAATGGTCTATCTTATATGCTGATATTTGGATAGCTGAAATTCTCATTACACTGTTAAAAAATAAACTAAATTTTATTCAATCTCTATTATTCTGCATATATTATGATGAACACATTCTCAACACGAAGGGACCTATGAATGTGACATTCTGTACAAGATACTATAAAAGTTATCTCTCTACACCCATAATTTAGTTGTGATATGGATTGGCTTGAAGTTGCTACGTCACAAATAACTCTTTTTTCTTATTTAAATATTTTATGATGGAAAAAAATAAAAAAGTAATAATATTTTATAAGTGCAGAGATATTTTATTTTATTATTTTTATCTTATACTTGTCCACATTTTTTATTCAAATGTTATTAGGTCAACAATCAAAGTTTTAAATGAATGTTGTAAATATTACGAGAATAAGAATAAAATATTAACTATCTTAAAAATAAAATTTGTTTAATCTATCATAAAATAATATTGTACCTAGATAAACCGAAAATAACAATTACTTATCCTTATTTGCTTTGCACAAACCAAAGACATTTCTGAATCCAGAATACATGTGTGGCTCATGCATCATGTTGAGTATTTTTACAATACTCAATATCATATATATATATATATATATATATATATATATATATATATATATATATATATTCTTTACTTTAAAATTAATCTGATTCTTGGTTTGGGCAGATAAAAAAAATCTAATAACAATAAATTATTTTCATTATGAATAGAATATACATTATTTTTTTCTCACTTAGATTATTTATCTAACATTTTTTTTCATATCAAGCCTAAGGTATTAACCATAATAAATTGTTTTGTTTTCCATTTCTTATACTTCACCTTTTTCTATATAAAATAGTGAATGAATTTAAAAATTACTCATGAAGGTTCATATCTCTACTGTTTTTGAAGGGACAGTGTTTGAAACCAACATACATGATCAAATTATTGGAACTGAAATATTTTTTCTGAATGAAAATGTACGCCATTATTGTTATTTTAGCCGTGGGCCATCGTAGTGTCTTTTTTGTTGGGCTTTGATAACACCAATTTCTAAAAAAACTGAAATCCAGGAATTCCAGCTTCAGGTAAAATCACATTTCAATAAATTTGAAGGTCTAAAATATTTCTTATTTATTTTGACAAATTTGATTTGAAAGATTTTACCCACCTGAATATAATTGTAACCACAAATAAAATGTTTTTACAATGATAATTGTAATTACATTTGTTATAGTAAATATTAGATAGTCCTAAACACTTTTCCTCAAAATCTTTCTCTATTCACTCTCCAAACCGTTCAAGTGTACCTGTCAAAAACATCTCACACTAAGTGATTAATCGGATCAGAAGTCACATTAAAATCTTAAATCCGCAATAAATGTAATCACCTACCTTCTTATCTTTGACCTCTATTTATAGGTTTAATGATGTGCTTGTGATTAATGGAATTCTAATCACAGCTTAATCACAACCCATTACCCACTAAGTAACTCTTACTAATAATCTTAATTAGAAGCTATGTTTAGGAATTTTTATTATTGAGGTCGTCTGTGCGATCTCTCATCTCCATAACTGTAAGTCGGTTAATAAATAATATTTACTTATCTTAATTGAACGACGTTTGGTGATGCTGACCATCTTAGGATAGATTATCTCTTCACAATGGTCTTATCCGATAATTCTTCTATACGTATAACATACAGTAAGCATATTTGTTTCAATTCAAATTATTATCAAACCAAAGTGTTTATAAGTTAAGAAAATACATTTTTTTATTCACGTTCAACCGTAGTGTTGCCAATTCTTCTCTTTCGTGTCTTACATTCTCTGCCACTATTCTTCTAAACCTTGACTCAATAATTATAAACAAATTTTGAAGGTTAAAAATATGCAATAAGTTTATAAGATTCTTTCATAGCATGTCTTGTCGTACCCCAACACTAATTTGTTCTTGATGGTGGTGTCAACCTTCACCAAAACGACTCAGGCTTGTTGAGCTTGGTGGCAATGGTGATATACTCTGGCATGAGGGTTTGGCAAAGGCAGATTGAGAAATGCATTGTCCAGTATGTTACATCAATTAAAAATAAAATGAATATATATTATTTAAATTATAAACAAATTTTGTTAGACTGATAGAAACTTCTTAAAATTAAAATGGTATGAGTCATCTCAAACTAAGAAGTTAATACTAGAACTCTATTAACGATAGACCTATCATTAAAATCACTTCATCGTCTAATGTCCCTAGACTGTACTTGAAGTTGTTTGGATGTTTGACTTTAGAGTTACTCATTATTTCACTCTCTAATGTCTCACCCTACTTCACCCTATTGGAAGCAAAAAGTTTCATGTCCCCGTTTGCCCCAATATCAAACCTAACCATCTTCATATTTTATGGGTGCAGGGACAACTTTTTACTCACCGTGTTTTAAGCTCCCATGAGATAGACATTTATAGGTACAAGGACACAGGGAGTTACCTACGGAGAAGAAAACACAATATATAGGATAATGATACTTTGACAACATTTTTTTAACAACATTTTAACATAATCTACGTATCATTTTGTGATTGGTTCATGTTGGTGTTTATGATTATTATTATTGATTGTGGAGTAATTTTGGACCAATCACAGAATGACACGTAAATGATATTAAAATGTTGTCAAAAAAATGTTGTCAAAGTATCATTATCCAATATACTTAACAAACTTTGGTAACTTTGGTGAAATGCTTTAACTTTTTTATCAGTAATTTATGTTAAAAAATGTTTTTTTAACAACATTTTTACAACATGATAGCTTGTGATTGATCTGTTTCAAATATAGAAACCAATAAAATAGTGACATGTAACATATTCTAAACAAATTGTTAATATATCATAGTACTTTATATTAACAATGGAACACTTGATAACCCTTTTAAAAAAAATACATACAAATTTTCTGTCTAACAGGCAGTTTTCTTTAGATGTATATATTGATATAAAATCTATGAATTTCCATGTTACTTTTACAAAAATACATCCTATTCACATATAAAAATGCTCAAAAAGTTTGTCTGCACAAACTTTATCTAAAGTAAATCAATATTACTGTTTTTTAATTATTGAATCTGCCATGTTTTACGTGTCAAAATTGAGAAATCGTGACCTTGTTCACATCTTCTAAGCATTCTCTTTGCTTTTTTATTTATTTTTGAGTATATTATAAGTACTAATCTCAATAAACTAATTGGTAATACTTGTCATACTCTAACACCTTTTGAATTGGCCGATAATGATCTGACACCAGCATTGTATCTTATACAATAATAATTCTGGTTGACAATTTTATTAATTTTTAACCATTATTGTATAACTCACAAGCAAAGAAAGTCAATAAGAATAACAAAGCACATTATTTCTGAAGTATATATGTGTTACATACAACTCTTACGTCTCCCTCTGGGTTTTTATATAGTCCTTCAAAATTGGAGTTTCATTTTCAAAATTGCACTTTTAGCCATTATGAAAGTCATCCACAGCTCGTTCCACACATTGGAAGAAGCGATCCTTCAATTTCAAATTCTGAACTCTAAAATAGTATCATTCCATTCTTGAAAATGAGAAAAGTGAAGAGGAAGATGCATGTATGTAACTAAAAAGGTAAGCATGATTCATGCACAACGAAGAATGTTTCTTTTTTGAAGATAAAATGAAAAGAAAAAGACTGGCAATAAGGTCTGACTTTGGATATTGAAGGTTCACCGAGGAGCAAGTTCAATGGATATCCTGAAAATGGGTAACCCTAGCTCATCACCACAAACTAACTTCAATTATCACTCTCTATGAAATATCTAGAATGAGTTATTAATTCAACTTCTTATAATGTGTGATGTCTCCTTATTGCTCCTGAAATGGTGTTAATGGGAGGCAACCTAAAGTTAGCCCCTAATGTTTGCATGCCACTAAGCTCACTTGTTTCTTTGAAATGTCAACAATGTCATGCTACTTATTTTTTCCCCCTTGCCCTACATGCCCATAAGTGATTCCTCAGCAGAAGCATAAACAGTTCAATTTTGACATTTCTTTCGTCTTCTTTCTTTGTACTCATATGCATACTTAAACTTGGTATGTTTATAAGCAACAAGAGATTTCCCATCACCTCTTGTTATAACCACAGTATAATGGAATGTAAGGGTGAGTTAAAGAAACATATTTTGCAAGACTTTTGTTATTTCCCATGGAAAAGGTAATAAGAGCTGTTAGATTCAAATATCACAAATATGAAAATTTAATTAAAAGAAGATGGCATATGCATAGTTACATGAACATGGCTGAAGTACTGTGAGAATGACCCTGCATCTAAAAACCAAAAAAAAAAGATCAAAAGTCAAACATCAGCGTCTGAGGCGTAATCATGGCACATCCTATTTAGACGTTCTGATTTTGTTTAATTAGCTGCTGATTGGGTAATTTAACAGTAATGTGTGCACTAAAACTGACAAAATGGATCATTCACTTACCTAATGTCGGTAGGAAAAACTTTTCTCAATCTTTTTTTTAAGTTAAGCCTGAAGCAAATCAAACATAAAAAGAACGTTTAGTGAATTTAATTGGAGTTTAAAGGTTAAAGTGAGGCCTTCCACTGCATTTTGTAAAGTGGATTGGTCTGTTTGCAAACTCTGACACGCACCAACCAGCCACTTTCCTAGAACTTGTTAATGTGAAGGTGTGTCTTTTTAGGTTGATGCTTCCCAATTAGGCAGTGAAAGGAACGAGTTACGAAAATAGGAGGCGCATTGAAAATTTGGCTGACCCTCCACATGTGAATTCACGTGGAGACATGTGTCCAATTCCACCTGCCATGAAAACATTCATTCATCCTTTCTCCACTCCTTACAGTGTCTTTTTCACCTTTTCAGTTCCACTCACTTTGTATATATATATATAAGCAAAGAATAGCGTGAGGTTGCAAACTGCAAAACCAGTCACCGAAAATTCATTCATTCCTTGCTTTCTTTCTTTCCTTTCAGCCTCTTCTTACATCCCAAGAAAAATAATGGCTACTCTTACCTCAAACGCATACATTAGCCCACAATACAATGTTCCCAAAGACCATCATCTACCTCATGGTTGTGTAGTTGAGGAAATATCAGGGCTTATTAGAGTTCACAAAGATGGATACGTGGAACGACCACAAGTTCTTCCATGTGTCACTGCTAGTACTATTAGTCCAGAGCTAAATGTGACATCTGGAGACATGGTCATTGACAGTGCCACGAACACATGGGCACGTTTTTACGTTCCAATTTGCCAACACGAGTTGCCATTGCTCGTTTATTTCCACGGTGGAGGCTTTTGTGTTGGGTCAGCTGCATGGAGTTGCTATCATGATTTCCTTGCAAGGCTGTCTGCCGAAGTGCGGTGTGTGATTATGTCAGTGAACTATCGATTGGCCCCAGAGAACCCTCTTCCAGCACCCTATGACGACGGATTAAAGGCCCTAATGTGGGTGAAGCAACAAATGCTATATGAACAACACAAGGGTAGTGGTAGTAACAGTGAATGGTGGACTACAAAGTGTAACTTCTCCAGTGTCTTCTTGGGCGGGGACAGTGCTGGTGCTAACATAGCCTACAACGTTGCCACAAGGGTAGCTGCATGTGATGGTGTTGCTTTAAGGCCTTTGAGTCTGAAAGGTCTTATTTTGATACAACCCTTTTTCGGTGGGGAAGTAAGAACAGGTTCTGAGAAATGCATGGCTCAATCATCGGGTTCTGCTTTGAACTTGGCAGCATCTGACACTTATTGGCGCTTGGCGTTACCCTGCGGTGCGAACCGGGACCATCCGTGGTGCAACCCTTTGGTGAAAGTGAAGTTGGAGCAGTTGAAGGTCTTGCGTACCTTGGTGTGCATCTCGGAGATTGATATATTGAAAGATAGGAACTTGGAGTTTTGTGATACTTTGGTTAGAGCAGGGAAAAGGGTTGAGTTTGAGCTGTTCAGAGGTGTTGGACATGCGTTTCAGATTTTGGGTAAGTCTCAGATATCCAAGAACAGAACTAAGGAAATGATGGCTCGTGTTAAATCCTTCATGGCTCTCTGATTCTCTGTTTCACTGTTCTGCTCTCTCTCTTTCTCTGTATATAAACTTAATTCAGTCTTCTCCAAATCAAACTGCCTATTGTAAATTTCTAAATCTTCAACAACTGTACTATATAATGGAATCATTTCTCAGAGGTAATGAATGAGATTGTATATACACAGTTGTCCTCGATTTAATTTGAAGAAAAATGAGACTAAATAACTTTTATTATGAATTATTGGTATAGTTTTCTTTTTATTTTAAGATGATTGATAATTGAAAATTTTAATTGAAACAATCATCTATGATGAGATTGTTAATCTCACTGTTATTTGAGGTAAGTTGGAAAACTCAAGTTAGTTCACTTTAATTTTAGAAGAGAAATGGATGGGTAATATTGATACCTAACAAATATTTGCACACACTCAAAATACTTTTAAAAATGAGTTTTCAAGTGTAACAAAATATTTTCCGAAATGGATACACTATATTTATGCAGAGGTGAAAAAAATTCAATGGGAGTCATACTACGAAAACTTAACTACACTTGCTAATGGACAATAGAAAATTAATGTTTATTGCACCGAAAGTGAACTATAAATCAAAATAGTTTTACTTGAATTTAAATACAAGAATATTATTGGGAAATTGCCCTTTGTTTATTTTCACTTCTAGCATTAAAAGTTAGTCTTACAAATGTATCTGTTACCCAGTATCTTATCAAAGACAAAAAAATCCTTAAACCTCTGTTCGCATGAACGCAATTTACTGTTCATGTGAATTAGAGAGCGATTATTTAAAAACGTTAGGCTGTTCGTTTGAGAGGATTACGAAGGATAAGCGAAGATGGATTTGCAGAATTCATGCACTTTTCGTCACCCGCGTATGGGAGGAGATTTGCGTGGATTGTGAGCGAAATGTCCTGTGTGCCCTCGACCTATTTCTTAAAAAGTAGAAGGCGTAATCGGTTACATGCATTGGGTATGTGGTTACAGTGGTGTGAAGGATTGTGTGCACTTGTGTAATCGGTTACGTGAAAGTGGTAACCGTTTACATACCACCATGAATATTGGTTTTTTGGTTACGGGGAGGGGTATTGGGTTTTTTGGTTACCTATTACTACATTATAATTTTTATAATTTATAAATATTTATTTTAAAAATTCTTTATATTTTTTGTCTCTTTATAAATATTTTTACAATTAAATATAACATTAATAAATAATATTTATATTATATTTATAATTAGGGGCATTTTGGTAATCTTTCATTTTTAACAATTAAATATTTTTTTAAATCTATCACATCAATCAAATCCTACACTAATTCTCACAAACTTTACTTCCAAATACACTCTCAATTACTCACAAATCCACTCAAAAAAACAACTACAAAATTATCCTCAAATCCACTCAAATCATCTCCCCCAAATCATCTCCCCCAATTAACCCCAAAAGAACAAAGCCTAATTGAAATTTGTCAAAGCAGGTATAAGTTTTAGCTTCCAACATTTTGTGCTATTTTTAAATCTCTAATAGTTTTAATCTTTTTAATTTTTGTCATTATAAATAATAAACTTTAATTAGTTACTAGTATTTATCAATATATAAACACAAAAAATTAAAATCATGTTGTCATATTTGATAAGACAGATCCATAGCCCCATGCCGCCTAATCTAAAACTTGTTAATAATGATGGGTTACAGAAACATATGAGAATTGTGATAACTCTTCCCATGTGAATTCACGTGATGTGTGGCAACATTTCATAATCACTTGCGCTACACTTTCTCACTTCAGACAAGCTAAATTGATGGTTCATTATAAATCATTAACATTCTGATTCAATGTAAATTTTGAAACATTTTATGATAAAAATATATAGTTTGGATAATTTTTATAGAAAATTAAAAATCTTCCTTTTCGGTAAATTGGGCTCAGCCTTTGTGGTTTACCTGTTTATAGTTTGATAATATTCTCTTTTCATTTTAATTTCTTTCGACAAAATATTTAAAATATCTGAAGTCCTTTTGATTTTCACTTGATTAAACAATCACAGCGATTAAATGTTTAAAACAGTACGAGTACGATGAAGCAAATAAAAAGAATTCATACCCCATATGGGTGCAAGTGCCCCTGATTAAAATAAAAAAGCCAACAGAAGTAAGAAGGCTCGGGAGCTATGGCCGCCCCTGATGATGGTGTGCTTCGATAATGTTTGAAAAAATGCAATTCATTTCCCAGAATTACAACAAGGGACAACAACAAAGAATCTATGAAGAATACAACCAAGAAAAAAAACACAAAAATATATGGAAATTAGCATATAATGGAAACTAAATCACATCAATTGTCAATCACTAGCTACTCAGATAAATAACCCATTCAACTATGACTGAAAAGCGCTAAATATAACTATGCAGTGTTACTTGTGATAGTTGGAAATATTACATCTCTTCTTGACGTTTTCAACCTAAAAGCGTGTTGAACCATTCCTGCCTAGCTAGACATCATGACATGATCAATTGCCTGCAGTGCTTGGTTAGAGAAAAATCGCACATCAACATCAGGATCCTCACTGAGCTCAACCAGGCATGGACGGATAGACTTCTCGACCACCTGAATGGCAATGATGTTCGCAGTAAGAGTTGAAGACAAACAAACAAGCAAGATGAACAGAGGTTGGAAAACACAAGTATGATACTTACAGACTGATCAACGATGGGGAATATGGACTCTAATACCTTTGCCACATTGAACTTTATGTTGGGCACTCTACAAGGGACAAAATGGAAGTAAATATGAATCAGAACAACTGTATTGACTCGTCCACTATGGTATATACCCAGCATTCAAAAGGTTAAAAATACCGGTCTTTTGAAGCAGCAACAACCACCGGTAACAACTTTGAACATGTGATTTCAGGCCCCATTACAGGAGCAAGCAGAGAGATAGCACGAAGAATAGTCATCCGATACAAATAGTGTGGATTGCTGCTCATCTCCAAAACCTGTTCCAAACATTCCATATTGATACCGAAGTTACATTTAGGAAAATAGAGAAGGTAATACCATATTGAAAACAAACATTTCAATGAAAACTTTCTTCAGACCCGGAATAGGTAGGAACCTAAAAAAAGCCCAGAAGACAACCTTACAGTGAAAACTCGAAAAGGGCTGGACAAAACTCAGGAGAGACAGTGCCTAAACAGGGAAAACAATAAAACAAACCAAATATATTCATTGTTCAACAGAACTTAAATATATCTGGTTACACATCAGACTACAAGATGATAATCATCTTCGAAGATCTTCAATTTGAGCTTGGTCTAACTCAAAAAAGGTGAGGATTGTCCATGCCTTTATAAGCCCTATTTTCGTCATATCTATAATCAAGATGTGATATCAGTAGAGCTCAGAAACATGCACAGATCTATGCATTATTGAACTGAAGTTTAGTAATGTTTGGTTTGGACAAATATCAGGACTTCAAGACCATCTGTAGAGGCCAAACAAACAAGTTATAGATAAACTGTTTTTACTAATTTTAGATACAATCCAGACGTGAGTTTGCAATGAAGTTCATGACTGATGACCTTTTCTTACATCATCTTTAATTAATGACAGATGATTCCTATTAATTCAGTATTTTGGAAAAGAAAATGCTGTGCTTAAAGTGAAACAAACCAAGATGATCGCAGGCTTATTTGAGCTCAACCTAGACGCATGCAATTGCAAATAGTGGAAGATTTTGCACCCTGTCCCCAAGTCCACTTCCAATGATGACACATGAGCAAGTTTTGTCTTTCAGGAATCCAATTGAAGACAAGCAAGGTCATCCATTTCTAATGATATTGTTGCAGTATTTTCTAAAATTTATTTTTTTAAGTAAAAAAAAATGAAACCAGATCAAACTAAAAAAGGTATAGAAGACAACTACTGCCAGAATGAACATAAAGACATGCACACATACAGAGATAGAAAAATTAATATTTTGACATATATATAGGTGTCTCATGCCATTAACAACAAATGAAGCAAATAGATGAACCTGAGGTATTATGTGCTGCATTGCCCACTCAGGACCAAATTCCTCAGCAAGGCGTTTCAGGTTGTTAGCAGCTGCTTCACGAATTGAATGAACCTACAATAACTACGGCGGTTAATGAAAGTAATCACATGCAATGTTATTCCCAAAAAGCACACACCGGCAAGGAAATGGAGAGCACAAACCTTATCCTGCAACCATTGCATGCAAAGAGCACCAAGCTTGTCATCAAAAAACCCAACCCCCAACTGACTTGCCAATAAGGGTATATATTCTATAATTGCAAGCCGTACCCTCCAATGCCTATCCTCAGCAAGCTCAACAATGGCTGGTAATAAAGATTGGGATAACAGATCAATTCCGATAACCTGCAAGAATAAAAGATTGATCAAAATGTATTTGCATTCTAGAATTAAAGATAGCTGCAGACATAAGAGAAAAAGGTTGCCAAAGAAATATAGAGTATTCTGAAAATGAAAAAGTAACGAAATAAATTATAACAACCTGATTCACTTGATCAAGCTTGCTGATAATATTCAGGCGGACATCAGGAAATTCATCCTTCAAAAGCGAAAGGAAAATAGGAAGAAGCTGCTCAATTGTTGCTTCCTGCAATGATGACAAGGTAGAACTGAGACTAATATTTGCATCAAAACTACCACAATAATGATTAGCCCATAAAATAGATTTTGTGGACTATTATTTTATCAGAGAAAAGAAGATGGATACAAATTTCTGGGAGAGAGGAGTATAGAAGGTAATTCTATACGAGGGACAAAAGGCAGATAATAGTTACCACAAGGTAACACAAGCAGTCAAGCACAAGAAATAGGTTAGATTAATTTGTTAGTTCCTGAATTATATTAGAAATTTTTAAATAGGATGCTATTACTTTGGACGTTTGTAATTAGATCCTGAACTTATAAATCATTTTTAACTGGGACGAGTAGATTGGCTGTTTCCATCAATGGCAAAATATGAGAAACAAACAAAGAATGACAAGTGAGACATTGATAACACTTATGAAGCTTATGACTCTAGGATACCCAGATACTGCAGTAAGTCTAGATTTGGC